TAAGTCCATGAAAAGGTAGGTTCTTTGGGGTTAAGGTAAAGTCTGGATAGCAGTTGTTATGTAACAGTTAGTTTTCTGCACGACGAGTCGAGTTAAAGCTGTGCCGACATTGAGGGCGGTCACCTACAAGCCACTGCGCCTGAACTCACATGTATCTCTATGAACGCTACGCGTAGGCTGCTCTATGTTTCAAGGAATCTTCAGCATCTGCACCCCGCAAATTCTCCAGCTAAGCCCGAAAACCTACAAGCTTTCAATTTCACATCACCACCACCACCCCCGGAAACCCCAAACCCCTAAGCTCAAGTCTCCTCGCCCAGCCCTAACCTTGACTCCCTTCGACCAGATGACGGGGTTTGTAGTTTATTAGATTCTGATATCTCAGTTCGATCGGGTTCAACACAGAAAACAAGGGAGCACATCCACAACGCTGCACGTCGAGAGCATTATAGTATTATTATATGCACCCCTCTTCTTATCTTATTACTGCGACCCCTATAAATGTTGACCCCACATCTCACAACGCCGTACATCCGCAGGTGGTGCCCGTCGCTCCATGACCTCTTGGGCCTCAAAGCTGGGCCAAAAGGCTTGCGTTTCCGTGCTCTTAAAGGGTTCCATAACGGTTCCTATAAGGGTGTTATAGCACTGGAGGGTTCTAGAAGGGTTACTATAAGGGTTTTGGTAAGATAGTGGGTTTCAATAAATCGGGGTTGCGGGCTTAGGGGTTTCGCTTAGTACCCCTGGGTAGCGGGGTTTGTGACGCTGCGTTTTTGTTTCAGAACGGTTCAGTATGTTTAGGGTTTACCCGAAGGACCTACAGATCATTACAGGTTCAAACGCGTCGATGCAGGGGTTGAGCTATGAAGAACCGTTCACAGTACAGGCTGTGTTGCAACCTTTCCATCTTTTTGGCGAAAGAACTCTTAGCCCAATGCCGCCGACACTTAGGACTAGTTGGTGCTTGGTACAAGCAGATATTCGTCGCAGCCTCCATGATTGATTAAGTCGCCCCAAAAGAACCCCATCATCCGCTTGCCTTTCAATTGCTAAGCACCAAGCACAGGATCAGGAATGGCACCTGCTCAGCCCTAACCTAAGACAATACACAATGGCCCGACCACAGACCGTAAACCATAAATCCTGAAACCTAAATCCTAAACACTAAAAGTTTACCTTTTTTGGGTTCAGAAGTCAGCCAAGAGGAGAAGACCTAAAAAGGGTCCAGGAAGCCCCTAGACCTTAAAGCATCAAAGCCTGAGCCTCGTGCTTTTCTCAGGCGTCGCAGCTGAAATCCGTGACCAAGGTCGGTGGGCCCGGAACACAAGAATAGACTGAGCTAGAGGTTTGGCAACTAACCCACTAAGCCTTCAAACCCGAAACCCTCAACCTCCTACCTCCTGATATAGGGGCCGTAATAATTCGAATGGGATATTTTTTGGGGTGGTATAGTATACTAGAATTATAATAAGGAGCCCCCCAAAACCCCCATTCTAATCATTACCCTAAGGCTCTTATTGCCTTTATGGGCTTTCTAGGGGAATGTTTGGGCTTTGGGGGCTAAGGTTTGGGCTTTCACTCTTGGGGTCCATGAGCCTTAGGGTAAGGCCCCTATACATGAAACAAGCCTTAAAATCCCCACAGCGTCCTCTGCAGATGCAGTCGGCAACAGCTTCGTGAGAGCTTTTCGACCCGAAGGGTCTTTAGAAAGCAAAAAACATAATTACCAATCTTATTTTGGGGGTTCCTTATAATAAAAAACAATATAGATATATACATATCTATATATATATATATATAAATAGTATAACGGGCCCCAAAACTCTGTTCTAATCATTAAGGCCCCTATTTTAGGGTTTCCCTTGGGAACTGTTGTTCTGGTTTGGGTACGTATCCGCCAAGAAGGAGCCTCAACCCCTTAATCCTTGAAAGGAGCCCTTCATGGACCCTTGTCCTGATTGCAGATCCACCTTGGTTGTCGGAGGGAGTAGTTAGGGGTTTAGGGCTTTAGGGGTTTAGGGGTTTTCGGTTTAGGGGTTTGGGGGTTTGGGGTTTGCGTTGTACGAAGAGCAGGTCTTCTGTGAGAAGATGATCGCAGCTTGCTATATCAAATCGGTCTTCGTCGACAAGTGGACTGGAATGGTCAGGACGGAAGCTATCAGCCGTCCTGAATTCATGGAGATCTGCGAGGACCAACGTTCCGTTTCTTCGCATGTCGACGCCAGATCTTGGATGTCGAGTGAAAGGATTCAGGCTGCAAGACGCGACAGCATTGCTGAGCATTCTTCAGTAGAGTGGCACGAGTTTGACATCGCCATGACGCTCCTTGAGGCATATCATGGTGAGAAGCATTGCTGGTTCAAGATCGATGAATATTCAACAAGCGAAGCTTCTTTCATCAGGGTTTAGGGTTTAGGGTTTGCCCTTCGGTCTTCAGACACCTTTCACGATTCAGAACGTCGCGATCCCGGCCATTTACTGGTGCATCAGTACTTCCACTTGCGGCTGCATGCCATGAATATTTAGGGTCAGTTTAAAACCCTAAACCCTAAAAACCCTAAACCCTAAACCCTAACCCCTTTAGGGTTCAGGGTCTACAAGTAACTTTAGGATGCTCTCCAGAGCTTTTGAGCTAGCCGACCACCTCTCAGGCGAGTATCTCCGGAAGCAGGTGTGTTAATATAGGGGCCTTAACAAGAATAGGGATTTTGGGCTTGATATCTAGAATGAGGCTTTGGGCTCTTATAGAGCATAATTATAATAACAACCCCCCCAACAAAAAAAGAGTATAGGTAATTATTTAGGCCCCTACATTATGTCGTCGTGTTTAATGCATGATGGGGCCAGATCAGTCACGTACCGTTCGCCGACTTCTTCGAGTTTGTGATAAGTGTTTAATATAGGGGCCTTTTTCTTTCAGGGAGGCGAAAAGTCCCGAGGACGTGCCTATGGCGAAGCAACGAATTCACAGGTGAAACAAAACTTGCGAGCGCCTTCAACCCCCGAGTCCCCCTGTACTTGCGCGAGCCAATCAGAGAACGGCTGGAGAGCATCGGCAGTGACCGGGAAGACAAGGTGAACCGGAACGCCTGAAAGTGCCAGGTGAACAAGACGTCCGGAAACACTAAAAGTCCAATCAATCCAAGAGCGAAAATCTCGGAGACGGTGCACGGGGCCGGCTGGGGGATGAGTGAGGGACGACCACGCCGCAGGAGGAGCAGGGAAGAAGATGCAATAGCCAGCTGCAGCAGGAAGCGAATCCGGCGTAAGGCCGGCGGGAGAGATCTCAACCGGCGGAAAACAACCAAGCCGCCAGCGCTCGACCCAGTCAGTGGCCAAGCTCCCGCTCCAGCAAACAGGCCCCACAAGGAGAGGTTGCGCCGCCCGAGCCGGATGAATGCAAGGGCAGTACATAGAGGGCAGGGGACCATCATCGGTCTTACGAGACACACGGTCACAGAGGTGCTCAGGGTGAAGCACAAGCAGCACATCCTCACAGGCAGCCGCGAGGCACGTGTCGGTAAGTTCTGCATGCCAGTCGAGCAGGGTCTGGCGAAGTGCTGGGAGAGGAGCAACAGAGCTCTCGACCAAGTCGTAGATCTGCTGGTCATTGGCGGAGGAGAGTAGCATCAAAGCATGTGCCAGCTCGAAGCAGCTCTCAGACCCAACAGTCACTGCCATGCGCATGCCTGCACCTGGTTGTGCTGGAGTTTGCTCATGCGCAGTGGACTCGGCAGCGGCATACAGAAGCTCAGGCCTAGCAGGCTGCATCAGGGTGCGAAGGCATTGGGCAGAGTGCTTTAAGTGAAGGCAAAGCTTGGCCGAGCTCGCCAGAAGGAGTCCGCACGCCTGACACCTCCTGCCCTTAGCGAGAAGCTGCGCCGGATGCTTGTATGCATGTGCGCGATGCGCGTGGGCTCCCCACGCCTGACGAGAACGAAAAGCAAGGCGGCATGGCAAGCAGGCATGAACGCACGAAGCGAGGCCCAGAGCATCCGGCGGAGGAGAGGGGGCCCATATGGACGGGCCAAAGGCCCCTTTATAATTAGAATAGGCTTCTGGGGCCAATCATTCCATTATTTTAATAAGGAGCCCCCTGAATACCGTAAGTAATTATTTAGGCCCCTACAGTACTACCATACTTCATTGTGTCGTTGCATTGGAGACAGGCATGTCGTGATCAGTCTGACAAGAAGTCAGCAATCCTCGAAGCCCACAACTGAAAGAGAGCATCCCATGAGCCATGTAAGGCCAATGATGCCCGTTGATCACGTGCCTCGTATCGCGATGTGAACAATTCTGGCCGCGATATTGTAAACCCCAAAACCCAAACCCCAAACCTAAACCAAGAGCCTGAGCCTCCACGATGGATGCAGTCTGACGGATGACATGTCGGATTTTATGGTGTACAGGCTATAAACCCTGAAGCTCTGAGGACTCATATTCTAAGGCTTGTGGGCCCAAAGACCATCTTATATAGGGTGTTTGGGGCCATCTTCAGCCTTAGGGTAAGCCCTAAACCCTAAATCTTAAACCCTAAACCTAAACCCTAAACCCTAAGCCGTAGGACCTTAGGACCGCTGTCAACCCGAATGAATCCTTCGGCGCTCATCAGGAGCTTGGGCCCCGAGGCCAGAAAAAAACCCCAGCCCGAAACCCTAAAACCCCAAACTTCCGAATATAGGGTTTAGGGTTTAGGGTTTAGGGTTTAGGGTTTAGGGTTTAGGGTTTATTATTGCCTATACTATTTTAGGGGGTTCCTTATTCTCTATTCTATAATTATCAAGACCCTTACATCAAATGAACCCTTTCACTATTTTAGGGGGCTCCTTATTCTCTATTCTATAATTATCAAGACCCTTACATCAAATGAACCCTTTCACTATTTTAGGGGGCTCCTTATTCTCTATTCTATAGTTATGAAGACCCTTGTGTTAAATGAACCCTTTCAGCTGAAAGGAGGCAGTCCAGTCTACCAGGGAGGCGATCGCGAACGAGGCACGGCCGATACGAGAAAAATGGTTTAGGGTTTAGGGCTTAGGGTTTAGGGTTTAGGGTTTAGGGTTCAGAAAAAAGGGTGTCGGTCAGCGTTCGATCTATACTTGGACCCTGAATCGCAGTGTGTTTTTTGATAATGCAGCAAGGGCCTCAATGATTCGAATAGGGTCTTGGGGGATCCTTATAATTGGTATAGTTATAATATAGGTTACCCACAACCCTATGTTTGATTATTAAGGCCCCGACATAAACTCCAGAGGAACGCTAAACTTCCTAAGCCGCAAACACAGCCCCTACTGTGGAGGCTTAGGGTTTAGGGTTTGGGGCCCAGTCAACATCAGTGGAAGGCAATCACGAATCACCCCCGGATTTGGACTAAAGCTCTTGTCAAGGGAATCCAGCAACAAAAATCTGCAAGAAGACCCCGAACTCTAACAAGACCATAGGTGTAAGGACCCTCATACCTAAATTACAGTCCTTATACAGAACCCCCCCTTCAGAATTCCTCATGAGGAAACCACCCAAATCCGTACAGAAGACCGAACTTTACTCACCACGAAACCCTAAACCCTAAACCCTAAACCCCTAAACCCTAAACCCCTAAACCCCTAAACCCCTAAACCCTAAATCCTAAGCCCCTATAAACCCCTAAACCCTAAATCCTGAACCCCTAAACCCTAAATCCTAAACCCCCTACGAAGAATTCAAGAATCGCGGTTGCCCTTAAGCATCGGCATATCCACTGGCCCGAAAGGACGTGCCGATACACCCGGGGATCCCAATACCCCTAATGTAGGGGCCTTCATAATTAGAATAGGGTTTTGGGGTGTCTAATGCTACATTTATAATAAGGAACTCCCAAAATAGTATAGGTAACTATTTAGGCCCCTATAATCAATTTGCGGTTTAGGGTTTAGGGCTTAGGCCAAGGGATATATCTTGAATAATAGGGGGCTTTATATTTTGATGTAAGCTATATCCAGTCTATATGCCTTAATTAGGGGGTATTGGGCTTTCTGGGCAGGAACCTGACATTGAAGTTGCAGCGCACCCCATGAGTGCAGCTGGCATTGTCAGAGCGACACGGTCTCCACCTTCGGATTGCCGAAGAATTTGCGAAGTCGGCGATCCTCGCAGACCCGCCAAAGTTCGCAGAGCTTCAGCGTCGATTCCGGTTTGATTCTTCTGGCAGGTATCTGGTCGACACCAGACAGCTCATGGAGAGCCTGCGCCGCTTGTCACGGCCTAAGCCCACGAGAGCAGAGCAGCATGAAGAACACCACGAACCTGATGCAGAGGCGGATCCGTGGGAGAACTTATATTTCGAAGCAAAGCGGGAAAGCAAGCATGCCGAGATGCTGACGAGAAAAGCCCGCCCAAGATGGAGACCCAGAACCCTAAACACCTAAACCCTAATCCCCTAAACCCCCAAGCCCTAAACCCTCAACCTCTGAACCCTAAACTCCCAAACCCACACCCTAACCCTAAACCCCTAAACCCCCCGAAACCCAATAAACCCCAAGCTTCCCAGTGGGCTTTTTCGGCAAGGCCAAGCTGGTGGCGCGAGACATGGCCGACCTGAAGGATCGGGATTTAGGGGTTTAGAGGTTTAGGGTTTACTGGCTTAGGGTTCAGGGGTTTAGGGTTTAGGGGTTTCGGGTTTAGGGCTTTAGGGGTTTAGGGTCTTCCCTTCGCTTCGGGCGGCTACCTCGGGGCTTTGGTTTATGGTTCTTTAGGGTTTAGAAGGGTTTACTAAGGTTTACTAGGGTTTAGTGTTTAGCCCTACGCCCTAAACCCTATAAGGGTTTTGGGTTCGTTAGGGTTCAGGTTTTTTTGGTCGGCGGTTTCAGGTTGAAGCCAAGACTTCAGTGCCTTTTGCGCGGCCAGAGAGCTCTGCCAAGAGCATTCGAACCGGGATCCCAATATCAGGGCCCTAGAACTAAAGGGAAATTATTCATAAAAGCTCCACACGATCTAAAGGATCAGAGGAATTTGTAAGTAGGCTTAGAAGATGTTTCCGAGCGAGGTGGCTATAGTTATATCTACTTGTAATCCCAATTCCGGTACTTATATGTATTCATAACCCGCTAAGTTATGACACAGGCTGCTTGGTGTAGAGAGGCATCCCTAAACCCTAAACCCGAAACCCCTAAACCCCTAAACCCCTAAACCCTAAACTCCTAAACCCTAAACCTAGCTTAGAACTTCAAGGCTTGAAGAGTGATTCGACTGGGGGTTTCCAGGGCGTCCATCGAGTACTGCAGTTTTGGGTTCTCGAAGGTTAGAAGTATGGGCCCCTAATATGGACCCTTAGGGGATTCTAGGGACCCTTAAAGGGTACATAGAGGGTATATAGTAGGTATATGAGGATCCCAGGCTTAAGGGCCCATACTAGGGGCCCATGGTTTCAACCGTAGAGGGTCTGGGCTCAAAGCATGGACGCCGGCAGTGCTGTGTAGCCAATAGTCATTGCTCTATGGGCTAACCCTTGGCATCAAAATAGCCCAAAAGCCTTCTATAATAGGGTCTTTGGCCCCAAAAGCCTTAAAATATGAGTCCTTAGAGGGTAAGGGTAACAACGCCGTTTATATCATGTTGTTATGGAAAGTTCCACGTGTGTGATCCTCTTGAAGGTTGTTGACATGGAGTGCCTAGATGCAGATTTGCACTGCTGCATCGGAGTTCACGAAATCACAAAGTGCATGTCGACCGAACCCTAAGGGTCCAAGTACCAAATAATCATATACTGGGCTTTGGAGTACCAAACTTTAATACGTTTTTGGGGGACCTGTTCCTTAAAGGAACCATTATAAAATAAAAGTCTATACTTTTTTCTTCCCTGGTTACTTCAAAGCCCAGTATACTCTCCCGAACTGTAACCTAGATAACCACAATCCGCAACCAAAGTACCTGATTATTGGGTCCTTTGGACCCTTAGGGTGAACCCTAAACACCAAGAAACCCCAAACACTAAACCCCAAAGCCTAAACCTCAAACCCTAAACCCAAAACCCTAAACCCAAACCCTAAACCTTATTGGGTCCCTTGGACCCTTTAAAGGGGAACTTTTCGAACTACAAGCCGCCACATGTTCCTGCGCAAGGACGGCGTGCGGGAAGGCGTCCGCCTCACTGTGCAGGACGCTCATGCCGAGCCTGAAACCTAATGTAGCCTAGACGCTCCATATGGGAGTTTCCGAAAATAAGGGTACTCTATTGTGGGGTCCTGATAATAAGGATCCTACTATTTCGGGTGCTATATTAGGGCCCCCTATTTTCGAAACCCCCCATGCCTGAAACCTAATGGGAAGTTCGACAAGTTCCCCTTTAAAGGGTCCAAACGACCCAATAAGGTTTAGGGTTTGGGTTTAGGGTTTTGGGTTCAGGGTTTAAGGTTTAGGCTTTGGGGTCTAGGGTTTAGGGTTTCTTGGTGTTTAGGGTTCACCCAAGGGTCCAAAGCCTAGAGGCTCCATATCAAGTACCATTATGGAATTAGGTACCCAAAACCATAATGGGGATGGTCTTTTGGGACCTAATTCCATAATGGTACTATATGTGGAGCCTCTGGGTAGGAGCCTTTATAGTTAGACTAGGGTTGTGGGGGTTCCTTATGATAGCTATAGTATAATGTACCCCAAGACCCTATTCGAATCAATGCGGCCCCTAAATTAAGCCCGAAGCGCTGCATGTTACCTCTAAGAAACCTGCATGCAGAAAGGTTCTTGAAGACCTTGGATTAAGAGGCAAATCACCTCGGAATTACAACATGCTGGCCCATTGTTGTTTCAAGCCTGAATCCTATGAGCTTTTTTAATTTCTGGGCCGAAAATGTGAGGCGTACTCGCTGCTTCGCATTTTGAATTTAGAGTTGCAAAGGTTTCACAGCATGGGAGTGCTACAAACAAACCACCTTGCCTTCAGACTTACAAGTAGGAAGATCTTTTCTATACCAGCCCGAATCTAAAGTGGAGGTCCTACAGAAAAGTAGTATCCCCATAGAGTTCCCATCTGAGCATATGGCCTTAAGCCCTAAACCCTAAACCCTAAACCCTAAACCTGAAACCCTAAACCCTAAGCCCTAAACCGAAACCCCAAGTCCTAAACCCGAATCCCCAAACCCGCAACCCCCAAGGGGGACGCCGAAAAGGATCGAAGATTCAGTGGGTTTAGGGTTTAGGGTGTACCCGGACCCTACATAACCTACCTTTTTAGAAACTTATATAATGAAATCATAATAAGGAACCCTAAAAAGGTAGGTTCTTTAGGGTCCAGGTAGGGTCTACAGGATGAAAGCTGTGGGCTGCTGCCTTCTTACTTCGTGGAATTATAGGATCCTTAAGGGAGGGTGGCTCTAGGGGGGCGGGTCCTAGAGATCCTTAGGGAGCTTTAGGGAACCTAAGGGAGTGCTAGGGAGAATTGGGGATTACTGGGTTATATACCCCCCTTTCAACCCCCTCCCTGAAGGATTCCATAAGTGGATCATTGTGCAATTAACAACTGGAGCGATTGCGAGCTGTTTCTTGGGTCAGTGGACCTAGTAAGTACGGTCATAAGGAAGGTGATTATAGTTGCATCTACTTCGAAGCCGCTAAACCCTACTGTAAGCCCTAAACCCCAAACCCAACACCCCTACTTACTAGGGTTTTGCGCTTTAAGTCTTTAGGGTTTATGGTTATAGGGCTTTGGGCTTCAGGGTTAGGGCGTGTGGGTTGAAGGTTCTAGGATTTTTGGAGTAGGGATTCCGATATCCCTCAATTAGGGAAATATACTTTAAATTATAGGAGCCTTATTATTATGATGGCCTCCCTAAACCCTAAACCCGAAACCCCGAAACCCCTAAACCCCTAAACCCCTAAACCCCGAAACCCCGAAACCCCGAAACTCCTAAACCCCTAAACCCTAAACCCTAAACCCCTAAACCCTAAACCCCAAACCCTAAGTTCAACGCACTTTTGAGAAAAACAAACACCTAATATTCCTGGGTAGGGGCTCCATGGTCACTCAGAGTCACTGGAGACCCGAGAGAGGGCGAACTCGGTGCTTGCCGTTGCTAAGAACCCCAACGGTCCATGTACTCAAAAGGTGGGATTTAGGGCTTAGGGTTTGTATCCGTTGGCTCCAAGGTGCCTTTACCGGGACTACTTTAAGGCCCAAGTATATACTCTATGAGTACATGGACCCTTTAGGGAAGACAATTTGGGGGTCTGAGTGACTAACAGGCAATACTATTCCCTGGTAGGGCTCAAGCAAGGGCAATCTACTATAAACCCGAGCCCTTATGCTTATCGAACCATACAATAGGTCCCTATATCGTTATGCACAACAGGGACGACCCAATGTCGCAGATTGAGGGGCATGTCCAAGCCCCTAAACCTCTAAACCCAAGACCCACAAGGACACAATTTCAAGAATGCACAACTTGCAGATAGGTGGAGGTTGAAACGAGAGATGCCGATGGATGGTGATTTCTGTCAGACATTCATACCTATACATATATATGTATTAGGGGCTGCCTCTAACAGTAAGTGGCATGCTTTCTTTACAACCATTGAGTCTGATATTATTATAACACTTATTTCGTGTCATTACAACACTTAATTCGCGTCATCATAACACTTAAGTCGTGTCATCATAACACTTAATTTGTGTCATTATAACACTTAACTCGTGCCATCATAACACTTAGTTTGTGGTCATCATAGCACCAAGTTCGTGCCATCATAACACTTAATCTGTCGTCATCATAACACTTAATTTGTCGTCATCATAACACTTAATTTGTGGTCATCATACCACTTATTTCGTGCCATCATAACACTTATTTTGTCGTCATCATAACACCTAATTCGGGGTCATCATACCACTTAGTTCGTGCCATCATAACACTTATTTTGTCGTCATCCTAACACTTAACTCGTGCCATCATAACACTTAGTTTGTGGTCATCATAACACCAAATTCGTGCCATCATAACACTTAATTCGTGCGTTCATAGCACTTAATTCGTCGTCATTATAACACTTAATTCGTGCCATCATAACACGAAGTTTGTCGTCGTTTTAACACTTAATTCGTGCCATTATAACACTTAATTCGTGGCCATCATAGCACGTAATTCCTGTTATCCGAAGAATTCGAATGACTGCGATCCCAGCAGATGTCCTTACATTTTATCGGTAGATGCTCGGATCATGTAGCTTGGATTTCTGCTGTTTGACTTGGGAAAGATCCTGCATGTGCCTTGGGGCACAAATCTTTTATTTCTGGTGGTTATGATTAGGTGCATTCGGGAATTTCATTTGTTAGCATCCCTACCCTAAATTGCGCCATCGACGGGTGGTCAATAACCACTCATTCAACTATCATTGGGAGCCTATTTCGGCTCTGGGGCAGTGAGATCCATTGCAACGGATCTTCGCGAAACATTCTCAGATGATGAGGCTTCTGTAGGCGCTGAGCTTGCCATTCCACAATGGGTCCAGGCTACCCATAACAATTGGGGTCCGGGTACCAGAACAATTGGCTCCTGGCTACCATGAAAATGGCTCCTGGCTACCATAACAATTGGGTCCTGGCTACCATAACGATGGGTCCTGTCTACCATAACAATGGGTTCTGGCTACCACAACAATTCGCTCCTGGCTACCATAACAATGGCTCCTGGCTACCATAACAATTGGGTCCTGGCTACCATAACACTGGGTCCTGGCTACAAGGTGGGGCCCCCTAGTTATAAGTTAGTTATCGAAGATATATCTTAGTTGTTAGTTAGTTAGGGAAGTTATCGAAGTTAGC